AGAACCAATCTTATTTCACTTTTAGAAATTGCACTTCTATTTATGAGATTAATTTGACCATGAAGAGACAGCAATCCATTTCCTTCTCCCCCAACTCTACTGCCAGCCCCCCACTTAGACCCTCCCTACCAAATTGGAATAGTTCCTTCTCCTAATCACTGAAAAAAGTATAGGTTGAAAATTAGCACTCTTGGCTACTTGAAGAATGAAATTGTTCCTGGGCCTTAGCAATTATTTATGCACAAGACTGGATTAGGTTAATCATCAGAGTAGGAACTTGTAGGACTGCATCTGATCATGGATGATAAGGAGCTGAATAGCTAAAGAGGAAGAGTTGGCAAGTAAATAAATAAATATCATCATGAGAAAAAAAGAAATTTAAACCCTAAAGAAAAACTTTGCATTTTCTACCTTACTTTTTAAAATAAAAATAATTCTGCTCCATAGATGTTAAGCTAAAAAGTTATATAATTTTTCAGTATGTAATCCATGAAGTATGTTGAGGCCAAATTATTACAGATACGCTACAGTGTAATCTAATGTAGTACCGCACATATCTACATACATTTTCAGACTCTGAAGTATTATTCGCTATTTGCTGGTTTCCTCTAGATTGTTCATGTGAAGTATTTATAATCTGTTATATTTTAGGTATCCTCTTTCCCCTAACACTCCTGCAACACACTTTTTTCACAAAATCTATTTGCTCCTCCTTCGTTTCTTGGTTTGTATCATCGTCCCATTTCGGGGTCTGGGAAACAGGCGTGTCTGTTTTTCTGTTGGTCTTTTCATCTTTTTTCAGCTGTCGACCATTTGATTGTGTTAATTCTCTGAGATGAGTAGCATCATCTTTCATAGAAGTATACATGGACCATAAACTATTTCGTAGCTGAAATCTTTGAACATCTGCCTGGGATGTTTAGCAGAAGTAAATATTCTTTGTTGCTTTCCTTTCAGTTTGTGGAGATGAATGCACGGGCCTTCTTCTCGGTGACTTGGCTCGTCTGGAGCAGATGGCCATGAGCATGAACCTCACTGGTCCGCTGCCTGCTCCCTATAAAATGCTATACAGTTTCGAAAATACAACTCAAGAACTAAAGGTAGGTTGGTGCAGAAACAGCAAGAGCCTGGGAAAGAATGACAATTCTTTCCAAGTGGTATTAGCTGTAACTGGTAAATCTTCCATCCACTGCCTCAAATCAAGGGAAGCAGCAGTTAGGGAGGCTGAGAAACTGTCTCACCCAGTGTTTTTCAGACTTGAGAACCATAATACACAGTTTGTTACTAAGGGATGAGAGTCTTATGCACCCCCTAGTGTTGACCTAAATTCATTTTATTGTGTTACATAAATATGTGCAAACATAAAATCGGGCATGAACTCCTCATATTTATGGCTCTTATAAAATCAAACAAATTAATCTTTAAAAACACTGAGGAAACTAATAAAATTCAAATTAAAAACATTAATATAAAGTCACAGGTGATTTTTGCTGGAAGTAAATTGCTGCTTGCAACAAGAATATGATACTAACTACTTCCACACGGTTTCTCTCATCGGCACGGGACACGTAGTACCTCAGTTCTCCCACCTTCCCACAATTTGAACTAGACAGCCTTTTGCAGAGGGTCCTTACATGACATTGACATCACTTGGCATGTTCATATGACTTATGTACCCAATATACCATGTGATCAAACACAGGTGCACATGTAGACACTGAGCTCAGGTGGCAGTATTTATTTCGTAGGTGCCCAGCCAGGTTCCAGAAGCACTTACATTAATAAATAAGGTTATTACCAACATGAAAACACATGCTTCAATTTTTGTATTCGAGCACTAGTAGACCCTTAAAAGTACTTTAACAAGTACCCGTTTGAGAAGCACTACTCTGAAAAACAGGTAGCACGTTTAATATTTAATGGAATAGGGGGAAAGATTAAGGAAATTGCATCTATTTCACCTGATGAAAAATTTATGCGAGGTGGTTACTTATATACTACCAGTCAATTGTCATGTATTTATTGAGAAATCAAAGAATGCCCTGTATTGCACCTGGCTCCCTGGTGCTTTCATGACTCCTATGAAATAGTCATTGTCCTAGAGAAGCTTGGAGTCTATGTGGTAATAATGAAATCATGAAACAATACTCAAGCAATTACCAAAAATGCATACATAATTACCACATGCTTTACAAAAATTGGAAGCACAGTAGAATTCACAGATTGGAGAAGTCAGTAAGATTCAGAGTAACCAGGGTACATACCACTAACAAGGGTATAATGTAAGTTGGAACTTGCAGGAAAGATACACTTTTATTAGGCAGAGAAAAATGTGTGGGGACTGAAGGGAGAAATCTAAGATTTATTCATTATGCATTGGCAGACACTCTTCTAGGGAATATGTTATTTAATCCTGACCATGGTCTTTGAGGTATTATATTCCTTATTCCCAGAAGAGGCCAGTGATGTTGATAGCAGTAATAATGAACATTGATTGAACACTACCTCTGTGCTAGCTAGGCATGTGACTAAAGCCTTACATAGAATACTGTACATAAAGCTTACAGAAACTCCAAGTAGAAAAGAAGTAGTGCATTATTTACATTTTTCCGGTTGGGAAACTGAGGCACAGAGTACTTACATGTGAGGCACAAGGTCACATGGCTACTAAGTGTAGAGCTGTAATTTACAAAGAGGCAGTATAACTTTAGGGGAATGAAACTGCCTTTTGCAAAGCTCAGAGAGATAAAATAACCTGCCTGGGAGGTAGCAGTTCGAATCTGCCAGGTGCTCCTTGGAAACCCTACTGGGCAGTTCTACTCTGTCCTATAGGGTCGCTATGAGTTGGAATTGACTTGACAGCAATGGGTTTGTTTTTTGTTTTGTTTTTTTTTGTGGGGGGAGTACCCAGCCAGCATGTAGTGAGGTCTCCCTGACCTACAGCCCATGCATGCTCTTGCTGCTGACCCCTGCTTGAGAAAGCCACATGAACAGAGGCAGAGATATGAATTAGCAAGGCCTTTCTGGCAGACATTAGAATTCAGTCCTGCTAGTGAAAGATAAGACTGAAGACTTGAGTGGGGCAAGGTGATATGAAAGACAACTTTGAAAGCCAGGTAGAGGAATTGGAGTTTACCTGTAGGGATGTGAGACATTTTAATAAAGAAAATGCTGGCCAGTTATTTTCTTTGTATGTGGAGGGAATACAAAAAAAGGAAATTAAATTAGAATAGCAAATATTTCAGTTGGATATAACAAATTTTAAAAAACTAATACTTAAGCAATATATGATGAAGTACTGAAGGGTCCTATGAAAGAGTCTAGAAGTTCCAGCCTGTGGACATCATCTGAGCTAACAGATTCAGTCATGCCTGAATCTTAATTTTAAGAAAAATCAAGATCATTTTGATCAACACCTATGCCTGGGTGTTGATCAAAATGATCTTGATTTTTCTTAAAATTCCAAGATTTCTTGATTCTTTGATTTAAAAAAAAAAATTCATTTAATATCTGGATAATTGGAATCCCATATTGATATTTTAAAACCCTAAGCAAGTATTTTAACCTTTTTAAAACTCAGTTCCTTTAACTGTATCAAGGATTTCCAGGTTCCAACCAAAGACCGCCAAGAACAAAGTTGATCAAACAAAGTTGGGTTTATTAATTCCTTGCAACAAGAGCACTGCACACCATGAGGAATTGAGTGACTCAATAAGAGGGTGTTAGGGATAACATCTTATAGTATTTTGGCTTGTACTGGACAATTTGGGGCAGGGTTCAGTGTTGCAGGTGTTTGCACTGAATCACGTGTTATCAGGAAGTGGGGTTAGTTCTATGATTGTGTATTTCAATGAATTTTATGTAGAAGGAGGAAAGAACAGAGGAAAGCCAAAGCTGTGATTGGTAAGGAAGCAGTGGATACTCATATCAGGCAGGAAATGAGGGTTTTTTGGGGTTTTTTTTGTATTTTTGTGGTTTGATAGAGACCATGTTTTTGTTGTGCTTAGATAGATTACAGTTTAATTTTTTGGTTCACTCCTCACTGTCACAAAATGATCATGTCTAATGTTGGTATTTTAGGCTAGGTTCTCTAGAGAAGCAAAATTAGTAAAGCATGTAAATATATATAGAGAGAGATTTATATTCAGGAAATGGCTCACGCAGTTGTAGAGGCTAGAACATTCCAAGTCCATGGGTCAGGCTGGAAGCCTCTCCTGATTCACGTAGCTGCAGGGGCTGGTGAACCCAAGATTGGCAAGTCAGACAGCAGGGCCCTGGCTCACAGGCTGCGAAGACCAATGAATCCCAACATCAGCAGGCGTGCCAGCAGGTAAGCTGCTAGCTCTAGTCCCAAGAACCGGAGGTCAGACAAACAGGAGCCAGCTGCAGGATCCAGTTCGAGCAAAACCCCATGAGCCTTGCCAGAAAGTCTGCCTATATTGGATGCAGGCCACACCTTCAAGGAAACTCCCTTTCAACTGATTGGCTACTCACAGCGGATCCCATTATGGAGGTGATCATATTATATCAGATCCAATCTTGGAGGGGATCATATCATTATACAACTGCCGAGCTACATCATAACTGCCAAACCACAGAGAATCATAGCCCAGCCAAGTTGATACACAGTCTTAACAATCACAGTTGGAGTTCTGTGAGATTGTTTATGTTCAATAGAAGATGACCATGACCTAGCTGTGAGTTGCAGACCAACTCCTACAACACTGAAGCCAGGCCAGTTAGTGCCTGGCCAGATCCCGATGTCAGGAGCGGCTTTTCTCTTTTTCACCTGCAAACTGTGTCTCTGTTAATGGAATGGGAGGCTTAAAGAATCAGACAGAAAAGTTATTCTTGACTCTACCCCTTACAAACTATGTGTTCTTATGCAAATTGTTAACCCTCTTCCAACCACAGTTTTCTCATAAAATGGAATAACATTTACTTCACAACGCGATCGTAATAATTAAATGACAAAACAACACAAAACAAAAAAGCCTGGTATATAGAATTTTTCAATAAATTATAGCTATTCTTATTATTTGCTTGAATATCCAGTATGGTGCTCAGTATACACTCAGTATACTCTGTATACATGCCCAATTAAAACAGTCTCTTTTCTTTGAAAGAAAGGTTAGTTTCTTTGTATATAAAGAAATAATGCATTCTGTTAAATGTTCAGCCCTGTGATCACTGTGAGACCATTTACCAAAATGTCTATGAAATTGAATGTTTTTCAGCACTTGCTCTCGCCTCAGCGGGCCCCCGAGAGGCTCTTTCAGTTGGCAGAGGGCAATCTGAATACGCTCATGATGGAAATGAATGAGCTTCTGACCAGGGTAAGTTGGCAAAGTCATGAACCCTCTTAAAGTAGAGAGATAACATAAAGTAAATCAAAGGAAGTTACTTCAAATTTCTGGTAAGCAATGCTTGTTCTTCCCAATTCCCTATTTAGTGCACGAAATGGATGGATTTTAAGTTGCTACTTCTGCCTCAATTCAAATTCTAGAACTCATTAGCACACAAAAGTTTGGGCTACTTGGGAAGTGTAAAGAACAAGGGTAACATATCAGAATGACAGTATATTGTGAGAACATTATTCTGGAAGCATCCATGATAATTTTTTTATTAATTTTGAATTCCAGAAGCACAGTTCTGATTATGTAACAAATAGAAAACCAAACCCGTTGCTAATTCCAACTCATAGTGACCCTATAGGAAACAGGGGAGGGTTCCAATCACCGACTTTTCAGTTAGCAGTCAAGTGCTTAACCACTGTACCACCAGGCTCCTTAGGAAAAGAAAACTAAATGCAAATACTTGTAGTATCTTTTATCTCATCACGGGATTTTTGCATTTGTGTGTAAATACAATCCGAATCAGTGTTCCAACCCAAAGGAGAAAATAGTCTTAATTTGAAAATACAAGGAATTTAACACATTTTTTAAAGTCAGAATTTAAAATTCATGTTGCATTTATCAGATTTTTTAGGAATTGGGATTTTAAAATTGTCACAACTGCAAGAGGGGAGAGGTTCTTTTTTGCAGTTGGAGAATGAAGAAAACAGCATAAAGTCCGCCATCTTGTGGCCAAAAAAATGAATGCACAGAGAATCTGGCCTGCGTTTTAGAGATCCAGTTTGATTATCCATAAGCTGGAGCAAAGAATGTTGGAACTGGAAGGTTATCAGTGATTATCTAATCTGTTTTGGATTTTAAAGAAGAGCTGTCTCAGGCCGTGACAGTGAAATGAATTATCAGTGGTCATGCAATTCACGAAACAGAGGGACATGGCAGCAGGATCGGGGCTCTTGATTCCCACTGACCCAGTACTTTTCCCACCCTAACCTGCTGCTGGTTTAGGAAGATTTCCACAGGGAAATCAAGTGGGCTTCTGAGCACATAATGCTAAACAGTGGCCCTGATGTTACAAATAGCATACTAAATACTTTTTCAGAATCTCATATTAGCAATATAGAATGTACAATCACAGGATAGTTTCTTGCCAAATGTATGGAGACATTCAAATACTATGAGTAAATATATCTCATGTTAATTTAATATTTAATAATTTTATATTATGTGAATACAAATAAAAACAAAGTTAGAAATGTTAAACAGCAACAACAGGATAAGCTCAAGTCATAAGCACATGGGAATTTTCATCACAGACAAAGCCCAAGCTAAGTGTTGGTAGATGAAAACTAAATAAGGCTCAGTCTCTGTCTTTAAGAAGCTTTCAATCTAGTGTTTGTGTATATCTGTGAGGGGGGAACATTTGCATGTATGAATGATAATATGAGACAATTGCATACAAACAAATGCATAATACAAAACAAAATAAATGTGCTTGAAAAAACATAAAAATGGGACAACTTAATCTGGTTAAGGGCAATTAGGAAAAATTCCATATAGTATGTGGCATTTCATTCATTTATTTGATTAATACTGTTGGAGTTTACCATGCATGGTCTAGGCAATATGGCCAGCACTGGGGATATAGGTGTAAACAAAACTGACACAGTCCTTGCCCTCATTGAGTTTATTATAGCATAATGATCTGCTCCTAGAAAGACAAGAAGTATTTCTCTAGGAGAATCAGCTGTTAATTATGTTTTAGCCTAAGTCCTTTCATCTTTCCAGAAGATTCTTCAATACTATTTTTAAGTAAACTTTTTTATTTTAAATAGCTTTAGATTTATAGAAAAGCTGCATAGGTTGTATGGAGAGTTCCCATGTACTCCATACCTGGTTTTCTATCTATTCTAATCTGGTACATTTATCACAACTAATGAACTAATATTGGTACATTATTATTACTAACTAAAGTCTATACTTATTTCAGATTGCCTCAGTTTCTACCTAATGTCTTTTACTATTATTCCAGGATCCCATCCAGGGTACCACATTACATTAGTCTTCGTGTCTCCTTACTCTCCTCTAGACCACGAGGGTTTCAGGCTTCCCTTGTTTTTGATGACCTTGACTGTTTTGAGGAGTACTGTGGATGTATTTTGTTGACTCTCCCTCATTTGGAGTTTGTCTTATATTTTTCTCATGGTTAGATTAGATTTTGTGAGAAAGACCACAGAGGTGAAATTACCATTATCATCATATCATATCAAAGACACAGGCAATCAACATGATCTATCGCTGTTGATGCTAACCCTGATCACCTGACTGAGGTAGAATTTGCTGTATTTCTCCACTGTCACACTCCAGTACCATTTTTATCTGCCCATTCTTCACATTCTGTAACACAGAAAGTCTGGAAATTAGACTGCCCAAAGCAAAGATCTCCTTCATGGGGGAAGGATAGGAAGAAAATGTAAATACTTATTAATTAACCTTGTCCCTCTCACATTTATAATTAGAAACATAATTGTCATGCAACCCATAGATACTCAAATCGGTATGATCAATTATTTCTTCCCCTGTGGTCAAACTGGAGCCCCGGTGGCTCAGTAGTTAAAAACTTGGCTACTAACCAAAAGGTCTGGCAGTTCGAATGCACCAGCTGCTCCTTGGAAACCCTGTGGGGCAGTTCTACTCTGTCCTATAGAGTCGCTGTGAGCTGGAATCAACTCGGTGACAGGTTTGTTTTTTGTTTTTTTTTTTTACAGTGGTCAAGCTGCATGATAAATAAAAGGTGAATTGATACACATGGACTTATAACTAGAAGGCTAGGTGACCTAAATATTCAATAATATCAGGCTGAGACCACCAATGCCTCTATCTCACCATCATGAATGATCCTGCAATTGAGACCACAGTACAAAAAGTAGTACACCTTACTAGCATTACCCATGGTGGTGCAGTGGTTATGATCTTGGCTGCTAACCAAAAGGTTGGTGGTTCAAATCCACCAACTGCTCCTTGGAAACCCTGGGGGGCAGTTCTACCCTATTATATAGGGTTGCTATGAGTCAGAATTGACTTGACAGCAGTGGGTATATTTTAACAGACAATGCCTTAGGCTCTAGCTGCACATTGGAATTACCTGGTACCAGGTCCTACCCCTAAAGATCATGAGGTAATTGGTCTGAGGTACACTGAGATTTTCAAGAGCTCCCCAGATGATTCTAATGTTGGCCAATGTTTAGAACTACAGGTAGTCCCCAGGTTGTGAACGAGATCCGCCCCTAAATGTGTCTTTAAGCCAGATTTGTAGGTAAGTTGGAACAGGTGCATATGGTTCTTCTTTAGCCCTACTGTAGTGCAAGAAACGACTCGAATTCTTTTTAATGATTTAAAAGCTGCATGTGTGGCAACTGAAGGTGCTTGTGATGAATTTATCGCAAGTTAGGGGGTGGGTCAGTCGTTTCAAAGTGAAGACAAATTTACATAATACTGAAGGGCAAGTGACCGTAAGTCAGATCTTCATAACCAGGGGACTTACTGTACCGTGATCCTGTAGTTACCTAAAGGTTAAGGCTTAGTGCTTTGACTGGTACTGCCGATCTTTGCGATGCTGCTTTTTCTCTACTTTGTTGACTGAGGAGTTGCTTTATTACTAATACATCTTTCTTTAGGTTTGTTAAAACATTCAGTAGGTGTTATCCAGCATAACAACTGTAGGAGCTGCCCTGTCTCTTTCAAGCGCTTTTATATTTTGTGCTCATTTTTTCATGGTGTAATCTAGCTCCCTAATATCCATGGGTAAAGAGAATAATATACCTCCCAAGGACTAACATTTTACATGCATATTGATATATTTTAGTTAATGTGTTAATATTAAATAAGCAAAATACTACATAATCATATATCTCGTTCGATATGTTTTGATTTATTGCCATTTTATTTCCCGCCTGGAATATAAATTCCTTGAATATGGGAATTGTATTTAACATATTCATACTTTCCTACAATATGAATGCAATATTTTGATGCTTTTTAATAATGACTCCACATTCTTCTGTAGCTGCTGTCCTTAGCTCCCTCTTCAGAATCACAGCAAATTAAAAAAGAAAAAGAAAAATTGTAGATAGGTCTGCATTCACTTCTCACTCCACTGTAATCTGGATTTTCACTTCTATCTCACTACCGAAACTATTTTTACCAAGATAACCTGAGACAAGCTATTCACTAAATCCAACAGACTATTTATTTTACTTGAACTCCCTGCAGTAATTGCACTTTGGTCCCTCTTTCCTTTTGACACACTCTCCTGTGTTGGCTCATTGTGTCATAGGGCTCCCTAGTTTTCTCTGAATCCTCTGAGCTTTCATTCTCAGGCTCTTCTCTTGCCCATCCATTAAAAATTGGGGTTCCTTGGGGTTCAGTCCCCACTCCACATCTCTCTCATTCCTGACAGGCTCCACTGTCTCTGAGCTTCAATTGTCATCTATAAATTTATGATTCATAAATCTGTATTTTCAATACAGACCTCATTTTCATGTTTCATCCAACCTACCTACTGGGCATCTCAAATTAAACTTACCATCTTCCTCTTAAAATCTACCCTTTCAACTATGTAGACCAACTCAGTGATTTCTCTTGCAGTATTTACCCAGTCTTTCAAACTGGGAATCAGTGGATTGTCTTTCACTACCCACTGTTTTACTCCCAATCCAATTCTGTTCCTTTCTATGGTCTCTCTTTCTAAGCCTTATCCAATCACAACCAATTATTATTCGAATGGAAGAGTTATCACATCACTCTTCGCATTAAAATATTACAATGGCTCTCCATTTTGTGCAGAATAACACATGATGCTCTTCCATTGTGATCTGATCCCTGTTCAACTCCCAACCTCCTCTCTCCCCACCACTCATGGTCTGGTTGTCTGAACTCCATGCATTAAACTCATAAGCCAGAAACCTAGACATCTCCTTAATGTC